GGGTCCTCGGGGACATTCAGGCCGTCCCTGTCGTCCTGGGTTTGCTGTTCCAAGCAACACTGGGCACCTTCAGGGCAGTTACTGAAGAGTGTCCTGCTGGTCATGAGGTTGTTGGTGGATTAGGTTTGGCTGAGAGAGCAGGAGACACAACAGCTGTGACTCAAACAGGACAAAGCTTTACTGTTTTTCCGTTCAGTCTTCTGGAGGACGTTGGGAGGCAGACGTCCTGGGGTGCTATGACAGCCCGAGACATTCATGGTCCAAGTTCATCCCCTCATTTTGATCCATTTTCCTAACACGCGGTTTCCATCTTCAAGGTGGTCTAAGTGGTCTAAAGGGCTGCCAGAGCTCCAGCTATTGCATCTGCATTTCACACATCTGAAAGGGAGAACAGAAAGTGTTTTCCTCCCAGCTACTCTACATAATGCTTCTGTGAACATCCCAACAACCAGAATTTGGTCACATGGCCCTCCCTGCTCTCAGCAAGAGAGACAGAAACAGTCCTTTACCTGGGAGCATCACAAACCTGAATAAAATTGGGGTTCTAAAAGGGGCGTATGGGAATCAGCTAAGTCCCATCAGCCTAGCGGTTGAGTGGCCCAGAACCACATCCCTCCTGACCCTGGAGCCACCGTCCCCGCCCACATCTGTGTACCGCACCCTGTCACAACTCACCTGCTCTGTCTCACTTCCAGACAAACCGGGAAGATCCAGCCTGTGGTGCTGCCACTGATGTGGTTTGGAGAGGTAAGGCTACGCAGCCGCAGGTCGGAACCCTGGGGGAGGGCAGGGCTGGGCCAGGGGACGGGACTTTCCCCAGACTTTATGTCCATGCCAGTGGGTTGCAAGGACCATGAGGTGGGCTGGGTGTAAGGTGATTTTGTGACTGCTGTGCCCACTTCCACGGGGAGAAGAAGGGTAGCTGGTTTTTCAAGGAAGTCAAATTTTTCCTTTAACTTTTCTTCTCTCCAAGCTTTTTAATATTCCTTATGGGTTTTTCATTTTTTAATTTAATTTTGTTAAGTTACATTATTTTGTTTTGTTACTTTATTTCTAGCCTCACCCAGATTGCTAGTGGCCTGGAGGGATAGGTCAAGTTTAAGGTCAAGGTCACTGCAGCTCACAGCCCATGCTGGTCCAAACCACACAGCCCCTGGGCGCCACGTGCTTTCCGCTCATGGCCCCGCCCCCGGAGGCTCTCAGACCCCGGCTCCTCATTGGTCAGGTTAAGATAGGGCGGCCACGTGGGAGGGGCTCGTGGGCCAGGTCTGCCTGCCATTGGTAAGGCTGTGATCACATGGTTCAGGCCCTGCAAGGTCTTCTGGGAAATGTAGTCTCACCGAGCGCACCAAGGGAAGGTGGGCGCCTGGACCCTGGTGGGC